CCGCCGCGCCGAGCCGCCCCGAGCCGCGTGCGCGCCGCCGCATCAGCTGAGCGCGCGGCGCGTGTCACGTGGTGCGCGTGTCGAAGGTCACGGCGCGCTCACAATGGAGCTCTCGGAGTCTGTGCAGAGAGGCTTCCAGACGCTTGCGGATCCCGGCTCCTTCGACTCCAACGCCTTCGCGCTTCTCCTCCGGGCGGCTTTCCAGAGCCTGCTGGACGCCCAGGCGGACGAAGCTGTGCTGGGTAAGCGGCTCGGCGCCGAGCTGAGACGGCCTGGGTGGAGGGCGCTCGCAGGAGAGGAGCGGGACGGACGCGCGGCGGAGCCCCGGGAAGAGGAAGTCTGCGGGCTGTGCCCTTCGCTCCGGACGGAGTGTGGGGACGGGCTCTCCCGGGGTTCAGCGGACCCCGAACGTTGTGCTGTCCCCGCTGGGCACCTGCACACTGCCAGCGACGCGTTCCTGGCCCGCTTTCCCTCCCGGTCGCTTTGTTCCTTTTGTAAAGCCCGCGCGCGTTCATATCTTGTTTGTGGCCTAAACAGCCAAGGTTTTCAGGCTGGGTTGGGGCACCCGCTATTTTGACACTTGGACTTCAACTGGGGGGCTCCTTACAATTCAGGCTTGCAAGACTGCCCTGGCAAGGGCTTAAAAGGGTCTTTGTTTCCGAAGTCATGACCAGAGGTCAAAGAGTGCTTCCAACTCAGAGAAGAACTCAGGTTCCTAGGAAAGCTCCAGCCTTCCAGTTCAGTGTGTTTCGCACAAGTGCTTGGCCCGAGAACCCTAAAATAATGCGTCTGATGTTTTGTTCCGCACCAGTCTCCAGGAGACGAGGCTCATTGAAGCGGTCTGGTCAGCGATTGCTGAAGGCACTGTCAGTGTGGATTACAGACATATTTTAAGGCAATTCACTTTTAAGTCTTCTTAAATATAAATATCTCAATTCAGATTTCTGTTTTTTTGCTGTAACTTCATGAACGAGACTTTTGTACAAAATGTATGAAAGTGGAAGAACGAAAATAGTAACCACCATCTAGGTTAATCTCAAAAGGATGGCTGTCAAAACCTGAAAGCACAGATAGGAGTTTGAATTTCCTAGTCTGCATTTTACACCTTTCACTCCAGCCACTGCCTCTTCACTTACTAATGTCTACTGGGCCAGTTATCTTAAAATTTTATCACAATATGTGAAGGTTATCTGCAAATTTTTTGTCATGTAAAATATTTACTTTGTTTTTTCCTTTGAATTTGCTCCATACAGTGTTAGTGAGCACTGTATAATTTTTTTCCCCCCTTTGGGGTCCATGTTTCTAAAACTAATAAAAAGATTAGGGCAAAATAAAAGGTAATTAAAATAGATAAAGTAGAATTACTGATATACTTTATTATTTTGCAATTGCCCTTGTTGCTCATTTCAGTTACTTAAAATTGACAATCATCACTGAATTTTTATCTTGTTAAAAGGTGTTTTTAGTCATATCAAGTATCTGTTAGGAACATGTCATAAGGAATTTATTATTACAGGCATCGCTGTCAATTTTTTTATTTTAGATCATCCAGACTTGAAACATATTGACCCTGTGGTTTTAAAATGTTGTCATGCAGCAGCTGCAACATATATACTGGAGGCAGGAAAGCACCGAGCTGACAAATCAACTCTAAGGTACAGGATTCATTTAAGCATCCATGTATTTTGAAATAATATCTTTGTAACTGCAATTTCAGTTTTTAAAATAAGGATTAAACTTTGGCTCCTCCTCCCTCCAGCACCTATCTGGAGGACTGTAAATTTGACCGAGAGCGAATAGAACTGTTTTGCACAGAATACCAGGTTAATTACTTTTAACTTTTTAAATTTAACAATTATTACTTTTAATTATACTCAGTTTGCAAAGATGTATTTTCTTTCCTTTTTTTCCCCTCTCCAGAATAATAAGAATTCCCTGGAAAGCCTACTGGAAAGGTGGGTACCATGTAGGGTGTCAAGCTGAGGCACTTTTTACTTTCAGGTATGAATGGAGAGAGCTAGTGTGAAATAAAGCAGGGCAAAAAACCCTGGGCTCCTGGCCCAAAGAAAAGGGGCCAAAGAACATGTGAAATGGTAGTTTAAGGTGATATTATTAAAGATGAAGTTTATTTTTTAAAAAAGATGAAAGTTTATTGAGTAATTTCAAAAATACTTTTATACTTCAGGACTTCAAAACAAAGTGTAACAATTAAAAATTCAGAATTGGTTAAAATGAGTGGAGAGGTTGAAAGGTAGCTGCCATTCTTAGTAAAGATAAATGCTGGTAGATTTTCTTGTATTTTATATCAAATTATCATTGTATCTTGCAGTATAGGCAAATCCCTCCCTCATATAACTGACGTTTCTTGGCGCTTGGAATATCAAATAAAGGTAAAGTTTAACTGTTCTCAAGAGGGATTTAGGGAACTTTGTGTTAAAAGTAAAGACTAAAATGTTGTATTGTTTTAGACCAATCAACTTCATAAGATGTACAGACCTGCATATTTGGTGACCCTAAATGTAGAGGTATGTCTAGACAATTCCTGTCTAAAAATGAAATATGTAGTGAAATTTCAACTTTTCTTGATTTAAACACACTATTTTTCTTCCTCTCTAGAACACTGATTCCCAGTCCTACCCAGAGATTAGTTTTAGCTGCAACATGGAACAATTACAGGTACAGTATTAGGAGCTGTCTTGTATAGATATTTGAGGATTAATGCTTTTGGAAACTTCAAAAGAAAAAGGCATGTCTACAAATAATGAAGATATAATGGAAAGGGGGCTTCACAAGCAATATTTTAACATAGACTTCACTTTTGAAATTAAGATGCTAATTTACCATTGATGTGTTTGCTGTTCCCTGTAATTAAACTTTTCAAGTGTAATATAAATTCCTTCAATTCATGATGTTTGATCCATTAAGATAGACAAAATTAAGACCATGGCTTTGAAAATGCCATCTCTGCTTGCAGAAATTGAAATTTTCCAAATTGGATTGTTGAACAGTAGTTTTAAATGACTTTTATAAAAGGAGACATGTACAGAAGATTCAACATCTGTTTATATTGCCACTCAGAGCCTAAAGGGATTAAAAGGTCTTTCCTTGAAATTTAGATGTAGTTAAATTTTTCGAAGACCTCTTTTAGTCTCTTCAATGTAACTAGTGTAGACTTTCAGAATATATGTATGTAGCATAAACCTCTTCAGATGACTTGAGGCAATTATTTTAGATATATGTAAGAGGATTCAGTTACTCGTGTTTCAATCTAATGAAAATTGCAGATTTGAAGCTATTTTATAGAAAATGCTTCGTTTGACAAGACAAAAGTTAAAATCCTAGTGAACTTCAAACTCAGAACGTGTTTTCCCGACATTTTTCTTGCACCTGTCTGCAACTTGAATACTTCGTTACAAATTTTATTCTAAAAACGTGGCATTTTATATATCTTCTAGGACTTAGTAGGGAAACTTAAAGATGCTTCAAAAAGCCTGGAAAGAGCAACTCAGTTATAAGTTGGAGAAATTAACGATCCCCCGGAGTAGAGGAAAAGCAGAAGAAACACCTTGCGTTTAGTTGAATCGTTGCTTGTACGAGCTGCATGCCTTCATTTTCAATAGGAAAAAGTTTTCCCCTGAATTTATGCCATTCATCAATTTTGACTAAAAAAACCATAAGGGAGTGCTATGCATTTAACTCATCCTTGATATTACCCGTACATTTCTCTGTATTTTGATCTTTTTCAAGCCTTCCGAAAGAAATATTACACCCTGAATAAATAAGGTGGTGTTCCCATAAAAACCGTGATGGTATTTTGCTTGGATTGGAGTTTGTGTTAATTATTACTTCGTGTGAGGAGCTAGACACGATTAGCGTTAACTTTTAACGCCCGCCTGTTCGCTGGGTTCAGCCCAGCGGGAAGGATGCGAATGTCGGGTCGGGTCGGGTCGGGTCGGGTCGGGTCGGGTCGGGGAGCCCAGCCCCGGGCGGGCGCGGGCGCGTGGCCGCGGAGGCGGCCG